ACTTTAATTTACTATTTTGTTTACCATAAAACAAAATAACTTAATATAGTCAGTTATTTAAAACATGCAAGTTAAATATATTAATAATGCTAAATCGATTTTTAAAAAGGAAATTCTAATAGACACCAAGGACCCGGACTCCTCTGGTCTTACCACCCTTATAATAGACATATTAGCAAGAATTAAATAGAATTCTCTCTCTCTCTCTCTCTCTCTCTCACACGCGCGCGAACACACACACACACACACACACACACACACTATTCATCCAAGTATATACGAATATGCTGGTGCAGAAGAACGATATAGAGAAAGACGGATAAAATTTAAAGGTATAGACAATCGTGTCGATAAAGTTCATGGGGCGCAAATTGAGAGATCCGCTAACGCCAACTGACCGTCCATTATCACAGACTTTATTTAGACTTCACCTAATTTCATTAAAATAATTAATCACATTTGGATAAAATATTAAAGTTTAAATTATGAATAAAAATTCTCACTTTTGCTTTACTCTGTGTGTAAATTGTTATTAATTTTTTAGGAGGAGGGACATTTATATTTTAATAAAGAACCGATAATTTTTAAACTTTTTTTAATACGAGTAAAAAATTTTAATTCAATTGAAGAATTCGAGATCTCCTATTACTATAATATTAATAATTTTCAGTGTATCATAAGCCGATCGGTTACAAAATTATTTAACAGTACGCAATTTATTTAAACATTGCTTACATTATTTTTCACGTATTCTTTTATATCATAATATAATAATAATTATATATAGAATATAATGATGATGTAATAATAATGTACGTGTGAGTTTAATAATTAATGTGTTTTCTTGTAATTGATATGTTTAATTTAAAGGCTCGATAAAAGCAAAAAAAAAACATTTTACATTGTTTAATGCATTATATAAAATAATTGAAATAAATTACATTAAAATTATTATATACTAAAGACTTGAATTATTCATATATTATTATTGTTATGTCGCTTATATAGCATAGCAATTACAAGCACATAATACATTCCCGAATACTATATCCTCTCCTAATCCATAAATTCGTCTGAAAAAAGAATCGATTAGAAAATTTATATATTGAATTCAATGAGGGTCATTTTCGGAAATGACGAGAAATCTTTGTATACTGAGTTAGAGGACTTTATTTCTTGAAACACTAGGCAAACTCATAATACACACTTAAAAATACACACTTAGATGCGAATGGAAGATAAATAAAACGATTTCTACTTTCATTCAGTATCGATTCAGTATCAAAAGTAAAAATAGATTGATCTATATATGTACAGTTGTCAATATAATAAAAAAATATGAATTTAAATTCTATGTTAGGAATGTATCGATATATGTATATATTCAATTATTATGTATTGAGTAACGATTATTGATTATGCAAACGAAGCCATCTTTATAGACTTATTCAAAAGTAAATAATATAATTATATTCAATATTACTCATATCTTCTAAGCATTATTAACTCTTTCTATACAATTTATCAACGACAATAATCTTTAAAGGTATTCTAAATATTTGCATTATATTGAGGAGAGCCAACTAAAATATCACCGATTAATTTAAATCATAAATAAAAGATTTTTTACTGTTTGGTTATTTAAAATTCTATATCGTTAATAGATATAAAAAGAATAAAATTTATGATAATTTAGATAATTAAAGCAATTTCTAATTTTAATTCTATTAAAACAAATATTCTATTTATTTGATTTTTTATGCCAACATAATTTTCTCAAATCACACTCATCAATTAACTATTCTAAATATTCAAAAATAATGTTTTGCATTAATTATAAGGTATAAGTATTAAAAATAAAAAATAAAAAATAAAAAATAAGAAAGAAAATAAAACTTTTTGTAAATAACCGAAAAACAATAATAGTCTTATATATTTATATTAATTGCTTAAAACTCGTATGAAATTTCTCTGTCTTCTTGTCGATGTTGATGATGAAAATATTTTTACTCCCAAATTTTGCCTATTATTACACAAATTCCAATTCCAATATAACAATACTTGTAGTTAACAAATTCTCATTACCATACAGATCATGATATTAATAATATATAATTATCATAATAATTATCATACATTCTGATTTCATACATTTACGTCAATTGAATACAATGCATAACCAATACTTTCCACGCTCTATTTATAACGATATAATAATTTATAAAATCTAGAAATGCATCGCTCATTATAAAAATTGTCACAATTACGAATAAACTGTGTTTAGCAATTTATGAAAACCATTATGGTGCCTTGTTCTATAAAATAAATTTTACAAAGACAATAATCGGCCATTAATTTATATTATTGCACAAAGTATAAGTATAAATAATTTAACAATAAAAAGTGATAAAAATGATTATTTATTGAAAAAGATTATAAAATCTAAAATAAAAATTAGGGGTTTACACAAATTGAAAATAATAGTCAGCGAGCCTTGTCATTCATTATATAACATTAAATAGCTACAAATGAAATATAATTATTTCAATTTATTTATGAAACTTTTATAAAGCAATACCTGTAATTTAAATATATTTTATATTATCTGCAAATAAAATAAAATAAAGTCTATCGCTATTTTAAAAAATTATCTCATTTCTTAAAATTATCAATTATCTTAAAATTATCTACAAATTACACAATTAATTGTAATGTGATAAGTACTATATTTAAAAAATAAAAAATCTTTAAATATTTTTACATGTAGCTTTTATTAATTAGAAGTTCATTTATTCATCAAAACAATGATTTTTCTATTAAAAAATGAAACTAAAAATGTATGTAAAAAAATTGTATTGTACAAAAATACTGATTAAAAACACCTTATCTTCTTATTAAATAGGACAAATGATTTTATAAGTAAAATTTTTATAATATACATTAGATGAATTCGAAAATTAATTTTTAGTTTAATATATGTCCAATAACAACATAGATTCAGAATAGCAAACAAATACTCTAGCTTCCTATTAATTTTTTTATTTTGCTGTTAGAAAGTAAGCACTCTAAACTTCATTATTATTATTTTCTTTTTTTCTTTTTTATATTTTATATTTAATTAATGTAGGACAATATATAAAACCACAATATATACTGTTTATTTTTATACTTTACTATGATATCTAGTTAATTTAATTTTTGCTCTTAAGTAACAAACAAATTTATTTCTAAACAATATGAATAATTAAAAATTTTTATTTTTACATTTATAAATACATGTAAACGATATATTCTTTAACAAAATTTTATTCGAACATTTAGATTTATATACTATACATAAAATGATGTGAAAAAAATTTATGTGATCATCTTATTTCCATTATATGGTTTTTGTAGCACTGGTAGACGATCTTACGTATATTAATCCTGCAAATTAGATAATAAAAAATTATAAATTTTTGCATCTAAATTTCTCTTATATGCATTCATTTAGTCAAAATTATCTTATGATGAAAATTCCTATAAAATATCTTTGTTATATGAAACCTTTTGCAAAGCAAATTCGTATAATTTAAACGATCCTATGAATAAAATGAAGTATATATTGGTAATGACATAAATGGGACGAATATATTTTTAATTTATGATATGTGATGAAAGAATAAAACATCAAATTTGATAAACATGACTAATTATGTGACTGATCTAAAGCAAAAATCAGGAAAATATTCAACTTTTCAACTTAATGCAATGTTTTATATTATTTATCATAAATATATTTGAAATATATTAAATAGAAATATTTTAATTTCAGTTCTAATTATTCATTATTGTATAAAACTGCTATTTATATAAAAAAAAATTTTTAATTTAAAATTTACTTTATAATATATATATATATATATATATATATATATTATTTTATATATATATTTTGTAACTTATATTAATTTTGTAATAAAATAGTACTCGATATTATTTAAAAAGAGAATTATATTTAATTATGTTGGACATAGTAGTTTTATTTAATGATTAATATATAATATTGGAAAATGAAAATTTATTATTACTTTTTTAAATTCTTACTTTTAGTAATAGTACTATATAATATACATAGTATATTATATATATATAATATATAGTATATTATAATATATATATATATATAATATAATACATAGTATATTATATATATATAATATATAGTACTATACAATAACATAATTAATGAGAATAATGTTCGTCCGGAAAATTTAAATTAACTGATAAATATTTTTCTAATTTTTGTAATGATCAAAAACTCTAAGGTATTGGTATTCGAATTATTTAACAAACTCATTGCCTTTATACTTATTCTTGTTACCAAATCCAAAATAGTGCAAATTAAATAAAGCGACAGAATTAAATCATTTAAATCAATTAAATAATGAGCTAATGTTTCTGCTCTCATAATTGTCATGTTTTAATTATTGTATGAAATGCAGGTAACTTAATTTAAATATCATATAGCTTTTATGATTAACTGATAATCACACACTGTCTCTATCACTAGTCATTACAATTTTGAACATTAAATGTTATTATTAGTTTCTCCCAATCAAATTGCAGCAACCATTTTGAAATTTTGCTAGTGAATTTAGATTTTACCAGAAGCTGATAAAAGAATTGTATTTGTTACTTTAATTTTTATTTTTCATATTCAAAGCACATCTAAATTAAATGATACTATTAACAATTTAATAAACTAATAATATTAAAACTATTTTTCATGGCGATTCGAATATTTTTAAGTAATACAATTAATAAATGGTAATATACAATTATTTCATATTGAGGTTAACTGTTGTCTTGTATAAGTATAATTTTGCTTCTTTTTTGTCATTTTACAGTATTTTTTCAAATCTACAATTTTATCATATAAAACTGAAAGTTCAAAATGTTTTGAAACAAAACTACAGTTCTAGATATCGACCGAATTTTTTATCGAAACAAACAAGTTACAATAGACATAGTATAAATCACATTCATCAAGGAAATACTAGAAAATTATGGAAATCAGTATTTTTTACGCTCACGGTATATTATTTATAATAAAATTTTAAAATAAAAACGTTAGTGAAAATGTTTTATTAAAAATTTTAATACCCATTATATTATTTATAATAAACCTACAGTATTTTGTAATTTGACTTTGTAATACTGATTTAGAAAATAAAATTTAATTAAACGATTTAATAAAACTTTTAATAAACGTTAACTTGACGCATATTATTTATAATTATTTTTTTCTTTTCATTTTTATATTTAACATTATTTACATATGTTACTTTGACAATTTATTAATTAATACTATAAGAAAATAATTGTAGTTTAGCGGCGCAACTTATATAGGCGCAACTATTATGGAATATGAACGAGTAAGAAGACAAAATCAAAATAATAAATATTATGGTATGTGGTGGAGACGTAATTATAATTATAATACAAAAGTAAGTATTTATAAAATAATACTATGTTAATATATATTAAAATAAAAATTTATTCTAATTCATTGAATCATAAAGCATATTCTATATGAAATATATAATAATAATAAATTCTATGGAGTCTATTATATAATAGACTATGGTTACACAATTAGAAATATAAAAACTGTTTCTATAATACAATTTCAAAATATTTTATAACTAAGGATTTTGTAATATATCCATTCTATAATATATTAGATTAATTCTACAATACATTGTATTACATCCTTATTATAATATTCTCCAATAGATTTTATTAACTTATATAAGATAGGAATTAAGAGAAATTCATATGACAATTTGTTTAATACATTATCATATAATGTAACATTGGTACTGTTTTTTATATAGCAGCTATTTTTCAAATAGGTATATTTTATATATTTATCAAATAATCTTTCGATTTCGTGAAGATAAAACACTAAGCAATTAAAATAAGATGTACATGTTGCAATTTTATCATATATCTTTTTCAATTTACATACGTTCAATTGTGATAAAAAAGATTCTACAATTCAACAAATTGTACTAAAAAAATGAGTTAATCGTATATTACTATTAGTTATTCAATATTAATACAAATATTAAAACACAATTTTCTTCTAAATAAGAAAAAATTTTTAAATGTAATAATATACAGTAGATATTCTAAAGTTAAAAGTACCTTTTAACAAAATATACATCATAATGGGAATTTAACTTTAAAATTTTTTTTTAAAAATTGTAACTAAAAACATTTTATTGTATCGATTTAGAATTCAGGATTGTTACAACAAATAAAATATTGGTGGAATAACTTAAGTCACGGTGAAACAATATTTTTCTCATTACTCGGTGCAAACGTACTTGTATTTTTATCATGGAAAATACCAAAGCTACAGCCATTTATGTTTAAATATTTTACTCATCAAACGGGATCTAGTATGTAAACAATTTTTTAATTTTTTTAAACAAAATAATATGTTTAATCCAATATAACAATTAATAAATTTTGTTAATTTTAGATTTTTCCCATATACCCAGTGTATTATCTATGTTTTCACATTGTAATGCATATCATTTGATTGCAAATATGTATGCTTTATATACTTTTATTACACCAACAGTTCACTATTTAGGACCAGAACATTTTATTGCGCTTTATCTAACAAGTGGAGTAGTTGCCAATTTGTTCAGTACTGCATACAAATTATTTACTCATCAAGCTTCATTTTCTTTAGGAGCTGTAAGCTACTATAATATTTTATATTATACAATTATCTACTAAATACAATATAAATAAATTATTTTATTTTTAAGTTTTAAATTGCTTTATATATTTATATATATAATAAATTATATAATAATAGCTTATATAATAAATTAAATAATATCTTAATTAACTTGGTATCTTAAAACTGCAATTATTAATATTAATTACTGTATATTTTAGTCTGGAGCTATTATGGGGGTCATAGGCTACTTTTGCAACCAATTTTCAGACACAAAACTTAGCATTATTTTCCTTCCATTTATTACATTAAACGCAGATATGGTAAGTTATATAATTTTAATAATTATAAGGCACGTAATTATTCATTTATATTATTTTATAGGCCTTAAAGTCATTGATACTGTTGGAGATAACAGGCTGTCTTTTCAAATGGAAAATATTTGATCATGCGGCACATTTAGGTGGTGCTCTGTTTGGAATGTAAGTTATATAACTTTCTCTTCTGCGTAATAATAAAGTAAAACGTATTTTACATTTTAAATTTACTTAATACAATTTCATAGATTTAAAAGAAAATTTAACTTCTTCTCACTTTGAATTTTGATTTGCTTTTGTGATTGTTGAATTTATTTTATAATAAAAATTTTTAATTTTTAATTTGTTTTCACTTGTCTTTTACACCCACAAATTACAAATAATCACACATTTTTTAAATAATATCAAATGATACATGAACATAAATTCGTAATATTTAAGTAATTATTTTAAATATTGTTCCAATAGGTTTTGGTATTATTGGGGCATCGAATATATATGGAAAAAACGTACAACGATAATGATGTATTGGCATGCTATTCGTAATCCTCCAAAATCTCATTAATAAAACATTAGCGGTTAGGTAAATAATTAATTTTCAAAAGTTTATTTTTATAAAACAAATGAAATATTAATTTAATTTATTCATATTTGTAACTCAAATGTACTATTATTAGAAAAGTCGCTTGAAAATATATATATAGATAATAACGTACGTATGTATGTGTGTATGTATATATGTATGTATGGATATATGTATGTTTGTATATACATAACCAGTTTAACTCATTAAAATTAAACATATAATTCATATGAATTTCTAAATAATCATAAATACATATAAACTTCATTATAAACCATACCTTAACTTTTCAGATATTTAACATGATGTTTAATATGTTCTTCAATAAATGTTGCAATGAAGAAATAACTGTGATCATAATCCGGTAGCAATCTTAGAATCAAGTTTATTGACGGTGTATTTTTTGCTATTTCATACAAATTTTCAGTACGAAGTTCTTCTATAAAACTATCTTTTTCACCCTAAAAGATCGAATAGTTCAAATTTCTATCATTAATAATTAACAATTAAATACATAATTATTATCACTTGATATTTGCATAAAATTTGATTCATTATTAAATAATGAATTTCATGTGTAAATAATAGACTATAAATTTCAATGATATAAATGACCAAAATTGTGTCAACCTCTTATAGATTGAAAAAATTAGTAATTTAATAGTTCAAGGAAAATACTGTTTAAATAAAATATTTTAATACAAAAAAAGTACCTGATGAATTAGAATATCAAGAAATGGTCCATTATACACTTGTATTAATTCTGTGGCATCCCATTTCTTCCAATGCTCATCGCCCTTTTTTCCACCTAAATAACCAGTAAAAGCTTTTTGACCCCAATTGCTATTGATGGGATTACAGATTGGTGCAAATGCAGAAACTGATTTATATTTCCCAGGATATTTTAAAGCACAAATTAAAGCACCATGCCCACCCATACTGAAGAAAGAAAATTATTAATTACTTTTTAGATTAATCAACAAATTTGGAAAAGAAATAGTATTTGAGTTTAATTTAAGTTAATTATTTAAGTTACGATAATGTTTTAATAAAACATTACAATTATTACACATTATTAAGTAAATTTAATATTTTAAAACAATTGTCACTTGATAAAATAATTTCTTTCAATATGAAAATATTAATGTTAAAATTACGAACATTAAATTAATAATTGATCTTTAAGTTTAAATTAGTTTAAAATTTTAACAATTTATAATTAATTTTGTATAAAGTTAAGACAATTTGTAAAAAAAAATTGATAAATTAAATAAGATAAAAAGTTGATAAAATAAATTAACTACCTATAATATAATGCAGCTAATTTTGTCAAGCAGATAAATGATAAATATATTTCATTTATTAATTAGTATTTATTGAGAAAATTGTATAAAAAATTTTTATTTTCTAATAAACAAATGCAATGAATTAATGAATTCTTATTATTTTCAAAATAAACTAAAATAAATTAAATCTAATATATATATATATATATATATATATATATATATATACATTCGAAATCTGTAAATTAAATGTAAGAATTTAATTTCATTAAGTTTAATTTACAAACTATTTTGAATTTTTGAATATTGAATTTGAATTTGGACTATTTTGAAGTATATTTCTTGCTTTTGTAAATATGCGCCTATATTTTTATACATATGTTAGACGAATAAAATATATGCACATGTATATCTAAAATAAAAAGGTACATTATATATATTTTTAATATTAATGGACTGATTTTAATTTTATAATAATAATAAAGATAATAGGACTAATCTTATTCACATGTAACAAATACCAACTTTACCTGTGACCCATAATTGACTGTTTATCTGGAATTGCTGGAAATTTCTTATTAATTAAAGCAGGTAATTCATCCGTTATGTAACTAAACATTTTATAATTAGTGCTCCATGGTTCTTCAGTGGCATTGACGTAAAATCCAGCTCCTGAGCCAAAGTCCCAAGAATCGTCTTCACCAGGGATATTAATTCCTCTGGGACTTGTATCTGGTGTAACAAGCATAATTCCGTATTCAGCAGCATAATTCTGAGCACCAGCTTTTGTAATAAAATTAGATTCTGTACAAGTCAGGCCTGACAGCCAATATATAACAGGTATTGAATCATGTTCTACTTGAGGTGGTAAATAAACTCCAAAATTCATTTTACATTTCAATACGTCACTGTAAATTTATTTGTAAAAAGTAATATGGTGATTTAAAAAATTTGCATTGTAAAAAAATTACACCAAAGCTATTTGTACGTAATAAATTAATCTGATTTATTTTAAATTCCAGGAAAAATAAAAATCATGAAATTACAAAAATCTACCATTAATTGACATTAATAAAGCTTAAAGTTAAAATTTTAATTATACTTTGTAGAAATATAATTTTAGATGCTATTTAAATGAATGTTAATTTCACAAGTTTCAGTTTAAAAATTCAAAATTTCGTAAGTTGTAAGTTTAAAATTAAAAGTGTACACGTTGATGAGGTAGCCTACACACTCCCACAATAAATATCATTCAATTAATGAGTAGATTACCGTTTAATCGTTAATTTAAAAATAAATTTTTGATAAATTTACAAATGATGTTATTTTACCTCTCGTGTGAATAAATTTTTTGCCACCCTCCAAAGCACTTATTACTAGATACCTCAGTTATCTCACCCATTTCAATGTACTTTTAATCTGCAATATTATAAAATTCTCTATTTAATCAATCATCAGAAACAGCTGTATAAAGAATAATATATTCCATAATCATTCAAATAAAAAATAAAACGGTAACTATATTTAGGTTAGGAATACCGCTGTGAGAAAATAGGAATAAGCGTATGACAAGGTGAAGCGTTTAAATTCTATCACTACGGTCATCATTACAAGTCCTAGCAGCCTCTTCGTCTAGCAGAGTAATGTAATTCGCTTACCGCTTAAAGTGACTTCAATTCATTGATAAAACTGATTTACCTCTAGCAACAAAATTTTCATTATCTAATATATGTGCGCGCGCGTTTGCGTGTGCGTGTACGTGCGCGTGTGCGTGGATATCTTCGAGTACGTTAAGCAGTTAGGATTACCATTATTTTATAAATTAAAATATAGCGGCTTTCATACTACGTTTCATCGTAGTACCTCGTAAAGCAGCTAAGCATCGTTTAAAAAAGAGTCTACAATTTTTTCCAACTTCCACAAAACTTTGACAAAACTTTGTCGTAGAAAGTCTGTATTGTCACTTAAAGAAGTGATCTGCCGGCATTTGCAGAGCAACCTGCCAAAGCCGAAGCATTTACAACTCGCATAAAAGTCGCGATTGTGATCCAGAATGGGACCGCGGCATGAAAGCTGGTTCCACTTTTGGCTTTCAAGCACAAATTGCATTTGACTGTTGACAAAGCAAACTCTCGGCTACCAGGACCAGGACCGAACGACCGAATGCTAAAGTGCTATCCTCGTCAATTCTGTCGAATCTTCGGATCGGGAGGAGCAGGAATAAGATTGAGCTTTGGGAGGAAGTGCCGGATCACCTCATCGTAACTACTTTTCGGCGACAATATCCGTTCTTCCCCAATTGTTCGAGTGAATTAAAACAGTCTTCTGCTTTTCTTTCTCGAATCTCGATTGATTTTCGTGTTATTATCGGTAGCATAACAAATACAACCTCCCCTACACTACAGTGACTGTATAAACAAAACAACTGTGCGCAACTCTGGAAAAATGAAGAAGTATGATTAAATCGGAATTTTTTAAGTAAGCTTTGCTTTTCGTAAAAAGACAGCTTTGGCCGAATAAATTATTAAGACTCCTATATGTTTAGATAGATTTCGGCAAATGCATTGTTGACATTACAAATTTTGAAACAGATAGATGATCATTTATTGAAATTATATTTCCATCTATCTTTTAACAAGTAATTGCAAAATAAATATTTAAACTTATAGTAAAGCACCATAGCAGAATGGAACATGTGAATGATTAAACAATGCTTATTGTTTGCAAGCAATCTCGTACGATACTGAAAAAACTAAAACATAAATATTCGATTAATGACATTATTATCCTACAGCTGCTGATGGTCTTTAAATAAATTATGACTCAGTAATAATAATTGGGAAACAAATGGAAATATTTTTACGTTCAATCAAATATATCGAACAAAATTAACATATAATTTTTTTTGTTTTTATTTTTTTTTTGTTTTTTGTTTTTTTTTTTTTTGACATTCAAAAAGCTTTATTTCAAATATTAATATAATTTTCTCTATTTACATATTAGCTTTATTCGAATAGTTGTTAGTGCATAAAATTAGTGATTGTGCATATATGCTTAAAAATATATTGTTTTTTAAAGAACATTGTCATTACACGATAACTAACTTATAAATAAAACGTTTAAAAAAAAAAGAGAGATGCAACTGTTTACACAAGGAATTTAAATTACCAAATGATTTTTCATTAAAATGTTTATGTATTTGGCTGAAATGTGAATTCGTCAATATTTCATTGTTATGCCAAATAGATCATGATTGTTTATAAAAACAGATAAAAGCATGTGATCTTTTGATTTATCTTAAAACTTACTATGAATAACTAATGTTTTCATGCACTTTTAACAATACACGAATAATTAAAAATTTTGTCCATTAAGTATGTAAATGAGCTATTTAGGATCTTAAAAATAATACAGGTAATTAAAATATTGCAATGTACAAAATTAAAAACAAACACGTTCAACCTTATATTAATTTAAATAATATATTTATAAGTTTTAACATATATTTAAATGCTTGAATGTAACTACTATTCGATATAATGTATAAAAATTATTACTTTAGATTTAATAAATTCCAATTTAATTAATTTGCTGCAACACATTTAATTAATGCAATTGCATTTGTGTATAATTGGTTAGCTATCCATTCAAATTAGATTTTCACTTCCTCAATACAAGGATAATCTTCATATTTACAAAGTATTTAATCACGTAATATAATCATTAATAATAACAACAATGATAATACTTATCTTATTACAGTATTATATTAATAAATAAAAGATATATTGCAAGATAAAAGCAATACATTCAATCAAATCATTTAAAATTTATAATTTAAAATAAAACTGTATATAGATAAATGGGAGCGTATCTAGCGTATATAGCCAGGCCATCGGCTCAATTATTTAAATAAATATGAAAACGAACTAATAACACAAAATACGCAATTAAGTAAATTATATAATTTTATAAATAATTTTTTTTCTTATTTATTTGTTCAAATTGTTTGAATTATGTTATTATTTCATGAAAAAATGATTTACGAATAAATTTATTAAAGTTCATTGATTATTATAAACAAATAACTAATATTTATTTAGTGATAATAGATATATCATATAGCTTAATACTAAAATAATACAATAAAATTTTTTACAGATACATATATGTATATATATGAAGTAGTAAAATTACAATAAAGTTCAAGCTCGTAATAGCAGTAAAATTTAAAAAAAATATATAATCCATGTAATGTAAATACGAATAGAAATGTTAATCTTATTTTCTCTTAATCGATTGTTTCTGCCCAGCTTTTGGTATTACTTTCTTCTCACCTTAAAAAGAAATTACAATATTAAATAATTAAAACAATTTAATAAAAAGGCATAATATTTAAATAAAAATGAAATAGAATGTAATTCATGTCTTTATCATACGAGCCTGATATTTTAGTTAAATAATTCCTATAAATGATATAATTCTCAGTATACTTTATAGAATAGACCAAAATATCGTAAAGTAATAGAATCTTAATCTTAGAGTCGCTAGACGGATTTCATTTTACAATTAAAAATATCGAAAAGCTTAGTTGGCTTTCTTAATAAAAAACAAAAGAAAGTAAGCAGAATAGTGTATTATTGATGACTTTAAAATTTGCCGGTGAATCGACAAAATTAAAAGCAAACTATTTCGATACAATAAAGAGTTACAACAATTGTTTACTTGAATGCTGTATAACCATATTTGTTTCCTTTTTTAATTTCGATAATTCATCGATAATTCATCGATAATTCATCGATAATTCATTTTAAACGAGAAATTCAAAACTTTCTATATCAATTTTTTTACCAATCCGCAAACTACTTATAAATCGCAAGAAATATTTATGTATTAACGCTCGACGGACACCTTCCTTTACTTTTCCAGGAGAAGCCCCTAAACCCCAAACCCAATTATTACGACATATAGAGCACTAATCCAATTATCCGTGACTAATAGTCCGTAATAAAGTACCATTGCAGTATTTAATAAATGACCCGGACTAGCAGCCCGAAGATCTAAATAAATCCAATGATCGATTAACGAACGAGGGGTCAAGAGACAGAAGACAATACCTGGGAAAGCTGGATCAAATTGCACGAGCGAACTACTGACTATAGCGCTCTCTCTCGCCGATGATGTTTGCACGAGGCTCAGTCTACTCGAGCTTTTAGTCATGCGAGAAGTTCCTAAGCTCCCTGTCCTCGATGTGCTTTTGCTCGTCAGAGATGACGCGCGACTCTCGCTCCTGCTCGTACTCAACGGCGTCGTCGACTGTCTCAGATAATACGCGCACGGTAACTCGATATTGAATTTCTCCAGCAGCTTCTTAACGTAGGTCTCCGCCTCGAGGTGTCGGATTGTGAACTCCGTGATGCGCTGGAGGGCCAAAGTGTTCTGCTCCTGCAGCTCCCTCACCGCTATGTCCCTCTATTTGAAGAGATTTGCTCGTTATATAAAGGGAAAGGCGAGCATTGGCCTATGTTTGCGTAGAATTACATTGCGAATAATATTTATGAATTCAACAGGTGTTTAAAAAAAAAAAAACCAATGTACAGGAAACTTTGACTTTTATTATTGATTAGCTTATGGTGGTGAAATCTTGGTAGATGACTGGCTGTACTTCATTGGAATTTACATATTTAATCAAATTCGGAAGTGTATTAAATTTTTAATTATTTTAACAATGACTACATTAACATTTAACCGAAGATAATAAATTTCGCTCTATGGCTCATTAATGATTGAATTACGAAATATTCATTCGAATCTTCTACTGTTCTATATAAATTTGTTCATGAGGATGCTTTTTTTATGAGCTCGTCTAACTTTGAAGAAAAGAATTGGCGATTCTTGTTGTCGAACGTAAATTGAAAAATTTAAAGTTAAAATAGGATTATAATGCATGTAAAAGTTATTATATTAATGCTAAGTATTGAAACTTATAGTGCTAATTGTATTGAATTGAATTTATTTATTTATTTTTTTTTTTTCATTTATTTTAATTTAATTACTTGAATCTCGTGAAAATAGTAAGTATATTTTCTACTCAGATGATTAAATTGTTTTGGATAAAAATTGGAAACGTGGTATAATATACTTTGTACATTTGAAAATAAATTAAATGGACGAGTGATGAATTTCGGTAATAATAATAATAATAATAATAATAATAATAATAATAATAATAATAATAATAATAATAATAATAATAATAATAATTCTTTTGGTAGATATCTAAATTATAATTGATTAAAAAACGAAATGAACTGAAAACAATGAAAACTAAATTAAAAAAAAATATTGGTTTAACTATACATACCTCTTGCATTAAAATTGTTTCATCAGACATACAGATACATTTATTCTGGATTTCCTTCAAAGTTTTTCGAAGATTCTTATCGGCTCTTGAAATTTTATCCCTTTGTTCGATTATTTGTAGCTCAAGATTAGCCACGAGTTGACGCTTAGTCTCTTTTACGTCCTTGATTTTCTCAATACTTTGCTCGAGCTTTTGGCAATTATCTTCCATGCACTATGCCATTTATTTACGACAAAAAAATACTTTTAATTAACCAGTAGTTTCGTCAAATAAAACATATGCATTCAATATAATATAATAGATAGAAAATAATAAAAATGCATAAGCATCAATTTGCATGGAATCCATATATTTTCAATAAATGCTTACTAAAAAAAAAAAGACAGGAAGGTAAAACTTTTAAAACTTAATTCTGAATTTTTCCTTCAATTAAGTAAGTTGAAAATTTTTTCCATCCACGTACATGTAAGGGGTTATGTAAGTAGAAATATTATGTACATGTAAGCAGTTAGTAAAAATCAGTAAATTGTACATTGTATAAATTGTACTTTGATATTCTGTTATATTATTTTCTTTCTTAAATTAAATCAAAAAAAAATAAAAATAAAAAAATAAAAAAAAAAAAAAACAGGAAGAGATAAGAGCGTAATCGAGTATCCCAGGTGATTAAAGTATAAGAATATATACGTACAGAGTCGATAAAAGATGCGAGTTTTAAAAACAAATTTAATGCAAAACGAACCTCGGTAGGATCCACACCAGACTGCCAAAATCAAAGCAAGAATGAAAAATCACCTTGCAATCCTCCTGGGCGCTCTCAAGTTTTTGTCGCTTCTGATCAAGCGTCTGCAAGACATTTAACAACTCTTTGTCGAGCTGCCGCTGTTCGGCCTTCTCGGGCTCGTTATCATCGACCATCGACAAGTTCAATTTGTATTTGTCATTGCAAACATTCACCAGCTTCAGAGTATTCTCCATGCTGCGAATCTCCTGCTCGGCCTTGCGAATCGCATTATCAAGACGATCGCCCCTTTCTTGCAGCAGATAACGTTCCTGTTTACACGATTCTCTCAAATTCCCAACAATACTCACGATACCATACGATATATCTCTCATTCATGCAAGGATTTAATTCAAAATCACTGGTTTTGAAAGGGCACGAGAGCTTCTTCAATCAATAGATCAACTATCGACTTAACTCTCAACTCAAACTCTCTTAATATTCCATATCATTGTAAATTATTAACGTGCACGATTATAATTGAAAAAAAAAAAAAAAAAAAATTAAAAAATTAATCTTTTAAACGGGCCATTTGAAAAAACTTTGACGCTTTTTTGTTCTTTTTTAAGGAAATTTAAGATTACGTACTTTTTACGCGACTTTTTACGGCCCAGCCATTGATTAATTTGATTTTGAGGTAGAATTTTTAAGCTCTCGCTACCAATTTTCTCTACCGCCGTAAACAAACAAACAGCACCGAGCATCCAAATGTCGATAGAAATTGAAACAATTGATTAGGAAAATCTGTCCCGTCCGTATATACCTGATCCGTCTGGATAATGAGATAGGCAACGGTAATGGGAGATCCATCCTCAGGATTCGTACCAAGAACCGCCATCGCACAGTCGTAGCGTACCTGAAGTTGTTGGACACGCGCTTTCCGCTCGGTTATCATATTTCGCAAATCTGTGCACTCATTCAACACAATGCGTCTCTCTAAATTCATACTCTCCTTCTGCATCTTGATATCCAATCGTCTCTCCTGCATTGCCTACGTAACATACACAAAGTTAAATTATTACAACTGCGTTAATAAATATGCCACGGTACTCTACATTGCACCTAGGGCAATTACTCGGGCTACTCTTCTCGTCTGACCCCATTTCTCTTTCTTTGCCGTGGAAAAGACAATTGCAAGTCAAACCTTGTGTCGTATGGCAATATGCAAATGTAACGTCGATTCAGATTTTGCATCAACGGTGCCAGTGAAATTTCCCAATTTCATTTGCTCGCGCAACGATTTATCATTGTTCGATAAAGAAATGGAGCGACGTAGAGTGCGAGCTAATAATTTCATGCTAATAACTTACAGCCTCCATGTGAAAGGCATATTTTTCCAGATCATAAAGCTTATCGTCCACTTTGTATGCGATCTTTTCAACTTCTTTTACACGTAGCTCCAGTATATTTTGATCTACCATCTTCTCCTCGCATTGAAACTGAGCTGCCTTCAACTGCTTCTCACCTCCCTCGATCGATACAATCAACTCCTGATGCTTACTTTTTAATCGTTCCAACTCATCGTTGCTGCTGGCAATCGAGGCTGTGATCTTTCTAATGTCATTCTAAAAGAGCGCAAAAAAAATTAACGAAACTAATGGGAAATCTTAAATATATAATGGTAGGAGATACAATTTTTATTATATATTTTTTTTTATTATTAATCAAAGCAGCTCTGTTACATTAAATAACATTTATCAGAGCTTATTGCATGCGGCTAATACGTAATAATATTAGACATCGAAGAATATCTAATGCGGCCAATTTGCAAGATGTTTAAGACCGCGATATACCAGATCGGATAATGTCCCTCTTACGATAATAGACTCGATGATAATCTCGATGCATTCGCGGACAGCAGGAGAAACGAAAACAAAGAGGTTCGGATGACGGGCATAGAGCGCAGACTCGCGATTTTTAATAGAACTCGGGGACAGCGGTGCTCTCGTCGCGTCATCAATTACTTCTTATGGCAAATAATGATAGGTACGCTAAAAATTTTAATCGCTCAACTACTAACGACGTCTCCCTATACCAAAAAATAACGAAAATTACGATAATAATGTGAACTTGGCAAAAATCGAACCTCGACTTGCGACACCTGAGCTTGCAAACTTCTCAGCGTCTCGAGCTTGTCCTTTTGCATTTGCTGTAGCTGCTTGAGCTTGTTCTGCTTGGCCTCGACCTCTTCCTTGCTCATACCCTGGCCGAGAATATTCTGCAAGCGGATCTCACACTTCTGCAGCTCGATATCCATTTGGTAGCAGCTGTTCCTCTTCTCCTTCACCAGCTTTTCCAACTTGGTAAGTTCGGCCACGACTTGCTCCGATCGCTTGGCCTCCGCTAGCTGTCGCAGCTCAATGACCTTCTGCTCACCTTCCAACTCATTGATGCGAGTAGTGCTGCGCACGATAAAGTTTTGCTGCTGCTGGATGGCCTTTTTTATATCAGTTTTTCGCTTTTCTTCTTTCTGAAATTCACGACAATGCTTATTAACGCGAACGTGTCGATTAATCGTTACAAGAGCTTTAAGGATAGCAGGTGACAGTGCTATTATGCTTGATATTACATTTCATCGCTTTCGACTTTGATTTATTTATCCATCAATACGGGCGTTTGAAAAAAAAAAAAAAAAAAAAATAGCTCGACTTTTCTAATTTTTCTATCTAATAACATCACGCACGAAAACATTTATACCGTTGGTATATACATTGTCTATTTATTTATATTGATGGGAGCTCATCTTGCATTAAACATCTTTTTTTTTTTTGATAAACATATTTTTATGATAGATTTGTTTTACCTCGAGCATATCTTTCAGATTGTTCAATCTTTCTTCGGTATTTATTGTTTGGCCATCGATGCTCTTCAGAGTCTCCTTCAGACCATTTATAATTTGTTCGTAATCGGCAAGCTTTGAGTTTTTATTGTCAATTTCATTCTGCTTACGCTTTATATTTATGCGAGTGTCTTCGATACGGCGAGCCAAGTCTTGTAATAATTTCTTTTGCATATGAACCTGCAAATATTTTTGTATTTTATAAAACCAATTGTCATCAATATTTCCTAAGCGTATGGGCTTGTCTTTTATCTACGACGATAACTGATAATATTTCACGAATAATAAATTCACGTTTTTAACGTCCGTACCTCGACGGAGAAAGTGTCGATTGTTTCCAATAACTTTTGCTGCTCTTCTTTGCTTTGAATAAGATTCTTTTCCAAGTACCTCAAATTATATTCCAATTCCTTATTTTCATTTTCTTGAATTTTCAAAAAACGTTCCGACTCCTGATAAGCATCCAACCTCTCCTTGGCAATTTCCCGCAACGAATTAATTTCCTACACAATTCGTTTTAAAAGCTTATAGATTTATATATAATTGATTATGCATAAATACGAAGGTAAATTTATAGAAGAAACTTACATCGAGAGCACTATAAATAGATTTATCACGTTGATTAAGCACGTTGACGCTTTGAGACCACTGATCCATTAATTGACGACGATCCTTAATTCCTTGATTATAGAGGCGCGCTGTTCTATCCAGAGCCGATTCTAATTTCAATATATTAAACATAATTTTATATATATTAAATACTCTATTCTTTAAACTCGGATTTTCATGTTTAAATAAAAATTATTAATTATGCGCGAAAATATGAATAAATGTATAGGCAAAATTACCTAATTCATGAACATCTCCAACTGCCTTAATCACCAATTGACGAAAAAGCTCTGCTTTCCGACTGAGGTTTTGTCTCTCCAATTCTTTTTCCTTAAATTAAACAAACTCACATGAATTAACAATTCTATAAAAACATAATAAGTATACAATGCAATTTACCGGAAAACATTGTGAAATATCATTAATAATATTCAAACGCTGACGCAATTTCTATTTATACGTAAAACAATAACACCCATTCATATCAAAATTTATCAAATTTTTCTTTTCTAGTAATGGCTCTAGTAAGCTTATGAATTTTTATTTTAAAGGTAACATAATAATAGGAAGAGCGCAACATTTCTTTACCTAAACTTCCACTTTGAATTAAAAAGCAGTTTAAAACTTTTACCTTAAACGTTTTCTCATCCGACTTAACGAACTGCTCGATAATTATATTCTTTTCCTCCTTCTTATTAAGCCTCTCCTCCCATTCCAAGAGCCTACTCGTGTCTGTCTTTATACTCTTCTTCGAAGCTTGGAGCTTCTTCGTTATCCGGGTGACATTCTGCTGCAGGCTATCGATCTTTGCGGTGGTGTCGTGTAAGTGACGTTCGCATTGCTTCGTCTCGTGGATGAGCCTCGTCTTCTCGGCCTGGGCCGCGAGGCACAGCTGCTTCTCCGTCTCCACCTGAGCTGAATGAGCCCCCAGAAGACGCTGGTTCTGACTGAGCTCCTGGCGCACGTCGGCTGCATGCTTGCGGATATCCTTGATACGTTCGAGGGTGTTTTCGTGCTGCGACTTCAACGAGGCGCGGAGCCGATTTTTACGCTCGACCTACGAATAAATTTTTTTTTATTTATATTCAATAATATGAGGACGCTGATGACCAATTTGTCTCGATTCAGGGAAACTTTTAACAAATGTACGTATACTCGACATCCTTTATTAAAAAATATTCGATAATATTCCAACGGAAGCTACTCGTTCTCGCAGTTTGAAAAAGCATGCATAAACATAGTGAAGAATCAAGTAAAATGAAAAATACATTTAATTACATGAAATTAAAATGTTAGTGTCTCGATTTGCAATTTATTAAAACGTAATTATAAAAATCCAATAAATTACATTGAATCCTAATACAAGCAAATATGCAATTATTAATTTAATACAAATATGCAATTTTCATACAATAATATTGTATGTATTATAAAAGTTTAAGATTTTTAAAGCGTTTTAATACTCTGCATTTGTATGCATTAATTTATAAACATGAAAATAAAAAAAAGAAACGATAAATAATGTGGTGAAAAATATCGTTTCGATATTTCGAATACTGAGCAATGATATTATTGAAAATTAAAATTAACATTTACTTTAGTCTATAGCCACATTGCCTATTAAACCCTTAAAATAATGTAGCTAATAATATATTATAATTACAATGGTAAATATTATAATTTTTATTTTAGAAATTGTATTTGCTGATTAAAAAAGTAATTTTAAAATAATTCAAAAATTATAAAAATCAGGCAGTTTAATTTCCAAGTTATAAATATAATAACAAGAAATATATATGTATAAATTTAATTTATCAACAAACATAATAACATAATAAATAAAATAAATACATTAAAACGTTTTTATTACATAGATATTAACGAAATAACTAATAAAAATTACAGTAAAATAATAATTCCAACCTCCTCCTCCAATCGCTTATTTTCAGCATTCGCAATCGGAATACGAAAACCATCGATCCATCCCAAGTTATTCAAAACTTCCTCCATACCAGTCACCAATTGTTACTACTTCATTGAATTCTCTTAAATATTCAGAAAAATGTAGTTTTTCAGCAAGAACATTACTTTTACACTCGCTTTCATTAACCGTTTCAAATATCTCTCAACACGTATGTCAACGTGTATACCTAAAGCTATGTAGTACATTAAATTCCATAGCAACTGTTCAACAAATACAACTCAATCGATAACCTAATTTAGTAATAATTAAACAGCCTTACTTTAATGATTGATATAAATGATAGACTTAAAAACAATTCCCGTAAATAATTACTTGACTGTGTCTATATAAATTATAATAAATAATATAAGAACTAACGTTTTGCGTACAGTATTAATATTTTGGGAAAAATGTCAAATAAATTTTAAATATCGTGATTAATCAATTCCATATTGTTTTATTTCATTAAAATATTGTTTATTAACATTAAATTGTCATTGATAACAGTAAAGACTTTTACCAAAAATATTGATATAAGAGACTAGACTTATATTTAAAGACTTATATTAAATGATATATAAAGTACAATGTGTATGCTTTAAATAAGTATATTATTATAAAATTTCAATGTAGAAATGCCTAATAATATTAAAGGCAGAAAATATTGAATTTGCATTCATTACACTGCCAGCAGTGGTTTAAAAAATATAGCAAATTAAAATAATACGCTATTTTTCATTTTCTCTTTCTTATTTCCTCTTGTCATTTTTGTAATAAAATAAAATAGATGTATAAATATCACATGGTATAAATGTCCATATTGTTTTTGTGTACAGGCACAATAGAGAATGATTTTTCGTGGATAAAAAAATACTTGAGTTTGAGTTTGCTTCAAAAGTACTAATTACTTTGTAACTTCATGAATAGCATAAGCAAGATAATCAACATTTTTTGATGTTACTCCTGCCATGGAAATTCTTCCATCTTTAGTAAGGTATACACTATATTCCTTAGTAAGCCTTTCAACCTAAAAATAATATATCATAAAATTACAATATTTAAATTAAATTCTAATTAGTCTATTTAAAACAATTGAAGTAGTTTAAAAAAAATATATATATATATATATATATATATATATATATATATATATATATCAATAATTGCAGTAATTTTAAGCATTTGATATTTACTTGATCAGGCTTAAGTCCTGTAAAACAAAACATTCCAATTTGATCGGTGATATGAGACCAATTACGAGTACTACCATTTTTCTTCAAATTCTCTTCGAGTTTTGCGCGTATTGAGATAATTCGATCAGCCATTCCCTTGACATCGGTTAACCATTCTTTCTTCAATTCAGAATTGCTAAGGATTTCAGTAACTATTCGAGCACCATTAATCGGTGGATTGGAATACATTGGCCTAATTAAAATTTTTAATTGGGACAAAGTGCAAGCTGCTTCTTCCTTACTAGAATTAATCAATGAAAAAGCTCCGACTCGTTCACCTTAAATAAAAGATTTTTTAAGTAATTCTAAATAAATAATAAACAAATATACTCGGAACAATATTCTCACCATATAATCCCATATTCTTTGCAAATGATTGCGCTAAAGCAATATAGTGACCTTCTTTAATGAATAGTCTTACAGCCTGAGAGTCTTTATTTACATCACCTTAATAAAATAAAGTTCATTATTATTTAGAAATTTATTCATTATTTTATTATCGTACAAATGATATAGATTATTTACCAGATGCAAAACCTTGATAGGCCATGTCAAAGAAACAAAATAGTTTTTTCTTCTTTACAAGTTCCGATAATTCATACCATTGTTCTGGTTTAGGATCCACGCCAGTTGGATTATGAGCGCATGCATGAAATAAAATTATAGATTGTTCTGGTATGTTCTAAAATGAAAAAATATATTTACATTAATAATATTAATTATAATAAATCAAATATATCAATATTGTGTATTATTACTATTATTAATATACGTGAAATAAATAATATGAATTTTTACTAAAGCATTACAAACTACATATTACTGCAAATCAATAATGAATATTCAATAATAAAAAGTTAAATATAAATATACATAAATTACACACATTAATATCTTCTAAAGCTCCTTGAAAATCAAGTCCACAATTTTCTGGATTGTAATACCGATACGACTTAACTCCTAGTCCAGACATCTTAAATAGAGGTGAATGATTTCCCCAAGATGGTGTAGGAAGATATATTTCTTTGTTACCAGGAAAGAAACGAGATAAATAACTCGCACCAATCCAAAGAGATCCAGTGCCCGAAATACCTTGCACGGTCGAACACTAATAACAATAGAAAATTTATTAATGGTTTAATAAATATATGTTTTTAATTATACTACTCGTACTATTTTGAAATAAAAGTCTTACACAATGATTTTTAATGACTACATTATCATGTCCAAGTGCCAAATTAATGGTTTCTTTACAAAATTCTGGATTACCAGAAATCGAAGAGTATTCTTTATCTAAACCTTTTTTATACAAATTTTCTTGTGCCTATTAAAAATTTCATATTATGATACATACTTCGTAATTGCTCTCAAAGTATATTACCTAGAAAAAATATAATACCTTTAATACACTTGGTAATACGAAAGGTTTACCATTATCGTCTCTATAGGCTCCGACACCAAGATTAATTTTCTTTGGATTTGTATCTCTCTTAAATGACTCAGTCACGCCAAGAATTGCATCGGGTGGTCCCATTTCAACATTGGACCACCAAGGACTGTAAAAAAGTAGCTATTAGTTGACTGTATACGAAACAAAATATTTTATAAACTTTCATAGTAAAATATAAAATTAAAAATTATTTATCATTTATTAGTAAACGGTATCACAGAAAAAAATCAGGCATAAATTTATTTCTATATTACAATCTATGTAACTAAGAAATCAATAAATAATGATTAAAAGAATATATCAATTTATGTACTGACAATACTACATAAAATCAAAATTGTACATATATGACATAGCTAGTAAGATGTATTGGTGAAAAAAAAAATATGGGGCTCTCCATTATATAAAATATATAAAAAATGTCGTAATATTAAAAAAGAAAGAAAAAAATATATTTCAATTTTTTAGTTTTTCAGTTATAATGTGAGTAAATGTGAGTAAATGAGAGGAGAGTATGACATTTTAAAAAACTACTTAAAGTTTGTTAATATTAGTAATTGCATAGAAATTTTATTATCTAAAATTATCAATTATTAAATAAATAGCAGACAATGTATATAATAATAATCTGTATCTAAATGAAAAATTTTTAACATAAAAATATTTAGTAAACCAATAATAATTATGCATACACTCAAAATACTGAATCATATAGAAAATAATTGTCAAGACAAAAAAAAAAAATTTGCTAATTACACACATACCAAACTATAAAAATACTTTTCATACTTTTGATAAAGTAGAATTTATTAATATATAAGACATAAAATTGCAAAAAAACATTAAAATAAATTATAAAAATATATGCAAAAATAATAAGTGTATTCAAGATAAAAAATAAAAATAAGAAATCAGTAGGTAGTAAGATTTAATATTTAATGATGAAATAGAAATTTAATGATAATGTTATAGAGAACATATTATAAAGAAATAAAATTAAGCTAAAAAATCAGAATTATATAACAAATAGATACTAAATAGTATTTTTATAAATAAAGGTAAGCAATGAAGAAAGAATTTAATTATTTTAATATAAAGAAAGGAAAAAAAAGAATGTTATATTAGTTAATTAATGTTTAGTAGAATAATACGTACAACAATTATTCTTTAACATCCAAATAAATATAAAAAAAATTAATAAATACATCTACGTCGGTAGATGTAATAGCAATAACTAAAATATTATACATATCAGATAGAACTAGTTAATTGAAAGAAAAGATAAATAAAATAAATATTCAAATACATCAAATTTTAAAAGTAACAATGGAATGAGTAGTAATGAAATTAATATTTATTTTAAGTATATTAATTAATATTAAAAATTATTTTTTCTTAATTATCTATATTATTATTACATAATATTCTAATATTTAGAAATATAAAGCTAAAAGTTTAACAAAAATTTATACTGCATTTATTTAATTATAATTAAAAATTTACTATAAGAATCATATGTATATATATATATGTATATGTAATTTAAAACAATTTTATCAATGAAATAGAAATTGAAGATATATGAAAATAATTACATTGGAAGCATTTCAATGTAAATTATGATTGTTACTAATGAAAAAAAAAAAGTAAAAAATAAAAAAATTAAAAATAATAAAGTATTTTACATAAAATGAAAAATTTTTTTTAAATGAAACGATTATTTTGTTTATAGAACTATTAAAAATATAAACTATTTCTAACCATCATATGGCGGCGATATAAATTCGGAAAAACTAGAATAAATTTTACAATAACAATTTAATATTATTTATACACATTATTAGCCATCGATTCAATCCGAATAAAATTATAAATAAAAGAATAAAAACCTTTACTACTCATTTTTAAATGTTTACTAATTAAATGCTTAGGTTATGTACGTAAGCATTATATCTGTTTTATACACACTCGTTGCTAAAACATAATACGTGAAATAAAAGTAAAAATAAAAAAGTAGCATTAAATGTATAAAGAAACAGAAAAATTTTTAATTTTGAAGAAACACAATAAAATTTAGGTTAAAAATAAATCGTTTCACTAATGAAAATTACAATTGAAAAATGTATTATGAATAAAAAAAAAGTTCTAGACACATGTTAATTTAAAAGTCACATTAAAAAAATTCATTATTCGTTATTAGCGTAATAGTCATTTTTGTATGTTTAGACGTCAACTTCTATAAACAATCGATTGTTGCAAGTTGCCACATTATAAAACAATGATAATAGCGTTAACATTCCGTGGCCGTATGTACTTATTATTTGTAAAAGTGAAGTAAAAAAACATATACTTTAAGCATCAAAGCATTAGCCGATTTCACTATTTTCTATTATTCTTTACTAAACGATTTTAATTCTAGAAAAGGCCTTAATAAAGAATTTATAATTCTTGCTCTCGCGTGATCCTCGAACTTAATTTAAAATACGAAAAACCCTTCGCACAAAAAGAAGGCCCAAAAAGTGACTTAGAGGGCACGCTAAGGTCAAACACAACTTACGAAGTACGCAAGTAACTAAGAAATCTCGCCCTCTGCGCCATGGCTATTCACTTTTTCCAGGTGATACTGATTTATAAATCACCAATTTCTTTTAGTGCAACCTGCTCCTCTCCTCCTCCTTACCACCCGCGACAATTAACAAGCAAGAACTTGGGAACTCGGAGCCGGAAGGCGCGAGTGACTGACTGGAGGTACGCACGAGCGACAGACACACCGGAGTACTTTCACGATCTAAACTCGAAAACGGTAAAAACTTCCCCCCGTTCCCAACGACGATCTCTATCTCTCTCGGCAAGTATTGGTAAGAAGAGTAGAGAGGCGCACGTGCCGTAGCGCACGTGGTCTCGTCGCCCTTTTCTCCTTGGCCACATCACAATTTCGCCGACGATAGCTCAAAAGAAATCCTGTTAGGACTTTTAGGGAGAATGCGACTCCCTCGCTCAACGGCCGAAAATTTCCCTA